CATCCTCGACACCGCTCAGGCACGCCAGGAGGACAAATAAAACCCGACCCGAATACCCTCCGAGGTCCGCAGGCGGCGACCGCCCGGGCCCGGAGCCGGCGCTCCCGCGCGCCCCTGCTCGCCGAGCTACGACGTCCGGCTGATTTTTTGATTTATTGTAGAGATGAGGTCCTACTGCCCAGGCGGGTCTCGAACCCTCGGGCTCAGGCAATCCACTCGCCTCAATCTTTCAAAGGCGCGGGATTACAGGCTGAGCCACTGAGCCCGGCTTCTCTCTTTTTAGAGTGAAACAAAGTTCAATGATTTGCCCAAGGTCATGGAGCCGGAGCGAGACCACCTGGCTCTTGATCTGGAACCTTCCTTATTGCACACTGCTACCACGCACACACCGTCATACATGGAAATTCATTTTCTTCATTACATTCCACATAACAATGCAGTGGAAACCATCCGTCTTACCTGAAAGTCGATGAATGGCTCCTAAGTAGTGGTGTGACTGTGATTCTTAAATTTAATTTTTACCTGAAGGTCTCCAGGCTCACCTGCTGGGTCGCCTGTCTCTGAGCCATGCCTGTGGGACTGGCCTCAGTGCATGGCAGGGGCTCAACAGTAGGAAAATCTCATTCCCCATTTGAAAAGTGGTTAAAAAAGAAATGAAAAATGACAGCACATGCTGCTGCAATCAACACAGTTGCAAAACAGATTTTCGTTTTATTTTTAATACAGGAAGGAGTCCATGAAGGCAAATGTGGCTTAGGCCACAAAAGACACAGTGTGGCCTGGGCAGTGAGCACTGGAGTTTAGAGCTGTCCAGTTTTCAAGCTAGCAAGCCTTTTCCAACATGAGCTAACCTGTATTTCTTCACTGGGGGGAGAATTAGAGCTTCCTTTTCATTTCTGTGGATGTTTTTGCTTATCGCTTATCTCTTCCTGCTGTCCCCTTACCTCCTTTAAACAACAACAACAACAATAATAAAGTATCCTGAGAATTTGTTGTGGAATACCAATGTGCCTGCTTTGTGTCTTGGTACACAGCTGAGATGCCTTCACATTCCCAGTTTCTCTGCTTCTTAGATGCTGCCTCTGGCCTCCCTCGTGAGTTCAAGGGCATCTCCACCATCACCGCAGAGCTCATGAGAGCTCCAGCATGAGACCCGCCCAGCTCACCAGGATTGCTGGATCCTTGACCTTCCTTTGTGTGGATGGTTTGCTTGTCTTTCATTCTGATTTGCCAGCAAAACTAGAATGACCAGTGGCCACTCCCCATTCTTGGGTGTCTTTATGGCTCTGCAAGGGCTGATTTAAGAAATGGTTTGACTCTCAAGGAGAGTTACCTGATCAAGGACATAGGCTTTATTACATTTCCCAGTGAAGGTGTGGCCTTGGCTTCAGAGAACAGCCCAGGGAAAATGGTGTAAGAAGGAAACCCAGGCTTGGGGCTAATCAATCCTTAATCTCAGAAGATATTGAACTTGGAAGGGATTCTGGAAAACATATGATTACAACCAATTGTTTTACAGTTGAGGAAAGAGAGGTTTGGGGAAGAAAAAAAGATTTAAATTCTCTCAGCCAGAGAGGACAGAACCGGGGACTCATTCCTGCCTCCAATTCTGCTACTCACTTTGCCCCATGCCATTTACCAGTCATGTGAGGGCCTGGGACAGGACTGAAGCAGCCTGGGAGCAGTGGAGAGCACTGCAGTAAGGGCCAAGTCCCCTGCGGAGTCTCTCAAGGGGCTGTGGGTGAGAGGGGCTGATGCGGGGGCCATGTCTGATGGATAAGGAAGGGTTTTTTTTTGAGAGGGAAGAAGGGCAGTTGAGGGCAATTTGGTTTTTTTTTTTTTAGTTGGAGTCTCACTCTATGGCCCAGGCTGGAGTGCAGTGGCATGCACGCTCACAGCCACCCCGGCATCTACCTGCTAGACTCAGGCGATCCTTCCCCCATTGAGGGCAATTTGTAACATTCCCCCAGTGCAAGAATGCTTCATATTATGGGGCTTGCTGGGCGTTTTCAGTGAGTAAGAGAAAGGACTTTGGAGCCCTGCAGAGCTGGGCTCCTGCACTGACCCTCGTGGCCTCTGGCAGTCTACGCCCCTCCCCAGTTTCAATCGCTCTTTTTAAAATGGGGATCATGTTGGTACCTACCCTGCCAGGAGGAAAGAGGGCCAGATCCAATCATGGGTAGAGAGTACTTAGCATAGTACTTGGCACCCAGAACGCACTCAGCACGTCTTACTCATTGGTGGTGAACCCCAACCCTCCCCTGTCTCAAGTCATCCATCGATCACCTAAACCAGACTTGACACCACCCCCTGCTCCCAGCCTCCTCCGCTCACCGGGTGTTTGACCTGGGGAAGATGACCTTGTCCACACCACTGCAGAGGCCATCTGAGGGTTTCTTCAAAGTGGTGTCATACTATACATGATAATAGCAGTCCATAGTTGGCATATGTGTAGCTTTGAATACTTGCCAACCGTCTCCGTCTTCATGCACATAACCCAGTTTACTTGACTCTCAAAGCAAGCCCAAGAGGTAGACATTTCATTCCCATCTTAACTCCTTTGATCTCCTCAGGTGTCATGATGTTCGGATTCTAGGTCGCAGGTTGGGCTTTTCTCAGAGGGCCAGGCCCAGCCTGGAAAGATGTGGTTGATCTATTTTTCTGGAAAATCCCCAAACTCCCATTTCCGAAAGATCTTCCTCAGCACTGGATTCTGGGATACGCAGTTTCCTTTCATGGCTCACTTTTCCTGAAGCGAGGATGTTTCATTCATGGCTCAGGGGGAGTTTCAGGTAGTTACTTTTCAATTCAGTTAATCTTTATTGGGAGTTTGCAAGGCTGGTATTTCCCTCCCTGGCACCCTGAAGCTGCCAAGGACAGTGGAGGCCAGGCCACTATCTTGTCTAGGTGAGATAAACCCACACACAGGTAAGCATTTACAATGTCAAGTACTTACAAAGTAAGGAGTAAACGTAAAAATTTTTTACCCATTCAGGAGGCAAAGGAGACAGCAGCCCTCTTGCCTTCCTGGAATTTAACTGTTTCCCATTAAAAAATAACTACTATAAAAAGCATGATCCCTTTAATAGTTTGATGTGCCTCATTTGAAGCTTTGAGTGAGCTGAGAGGGAGAGTCAACACGTGCCAGTGCTCACTGCCTCCAGCACCCGATGTCATGCCTGCTTAAGTTTTCAAACTCCTCTTAGATTTTTTTCATCTTCTGCTTCCATTCTCTCATGGAATTCCAAATTGAGGGGCCAGGGCCATCTTTGTCTCATCCCTGAATGGTCTCTGGGTGAAGTCCAAGGGCATCAGCCCTGTTTTAAGATGCTGCAGTGCACCTGTCTCTCCGACTCCTGCACCCTTTGGTTCGTCCCTGACTTGGCCACGTGAACTGGGTGGAAAAGCTTCGCACAACCGTGTGTTTATTCCATCTCTTCTTGTTCCAGGCTCCTATGCGGGGGCGGTGGTGGCCATGCCCCTGGCGGGGTTGCTGGTTCAGTACATTGGATGGTCCTCTGTCTTTTATATTTATGGTGAGTGACTTGGCTTCATGCATTCACGTGGTGACCTGACTGTCTGAGGGTTTGGCTAAGAGTTTATTACATGAAAATAGAGATTACTAAGATGCATTTATTATATAAATGGACTTCTTGTCTGTGATTCATTTAATGTTTATATTGAAGTTGACTTTTTTAAAAAACAAGCAGAGCATTATCTTTCTTTAAATATCAGTTAACAACAACAGGAAAATCAACAAAATACTTTCTCTTAGCTGAACATATTGCCACTGAGGAATATTTTAAACATCAGCAAATTCAGAGATGAAAGCAAATGCGACCGAATCATCCAGTCTCTGTGTTTCACCTGCAGGTATGTTTGGGATTCTCTGGTACACATTCTGGTTGCTGCAGGCTTATGAGTGTCCAGCAGCTCACCCAACAATCTCCACCGAGGAGAGGACCTACATAGAGACAAGTATAGGCGAGGGCGCCAACTTGGTTGACCTAAGTGTAAGTAGAAATGGGCAGATGAAGACTTGCCTCTTTTCTGTGAGTATTTCTCTTAGGGATTGTGTTGTCCTCATGAAAATAGATGTCAGTATCTTCACTAAAAATCTCACGATGTTTTCACTCCCTAGAAATTTAATACCCCATGGAAGAGATTTTTCACATCATTGCCGGTTTATGCAATCATTGTGGCCAACTTTTGCAGAAGCTGGACCTTTTATTTGCTCTTAATAAGTCAGCCTGCTTATTTCGAAGAGGTCTTTGGATTTGCAATAAGTAAGGTAAACGCATAGATGCTTCAAATGTTCTTGAACTTTAAATCTCTGGATCCTACCGAGAATATCTTTGTATGATAAAACAATTAAATTGCTGATTGTAATTCATAACAGTCCTATGACACCTACTAGCCTGTGCATGGTATACGTAGCTATTTAATTTCTTCTTAGTGAGGATCAGAGCTGTGTTAAGCTGCTTTTGAAGATTTATGTTTTACTCAATCTCAAAGTGTTTTTGAAGCTAACTCAAGGAAAGTGTTAAGCAAGGATAAAGAGATTTGAGGGTGTGGGTTTCCTTCTTTCCATAAGTGACTCAGTAAGTAGCACTAAGAGCCTCCCAGCTCACTGTGCAGACCACCCTCTGCACAACGGTAGTCATAGCAGTGACAACCATTGCTTGTGGTGGTTTAGAAAGAACCAGTCTGTGTCTCCCCAGTCATTGTCATTAGACTGTGTGTTTTAGGGAGGAAGGGTCTGGATGGTGAAATATAAACCATCACCATAAGACAGTGAAGCTGGGCTGGGCTCGGTGGCTCAGCCTATAATCCTAGCACTTTGGGAGGCCGAAGTGAGTGGACTGCCTGAGCCCGTGGGCTTGAGACCAGCCCGGGCAACTTGGCGAGACCTCGTCTCTACAATAAATAAAAAATTAGCTGGGCATGGTAGCGCACACCTGTAGCTGCTACTTGGAAGACTGAGGCAGAAGGATCACTGGAGCCCAGCAAGTCGACACTGGGGTGACTGTGAGCTTGCCACTGCACTCCAGTCTGGGCGAAGGAGTGAGACTCCAACTAAAAAAAAAAAAGACAATGAAGCTGCCTTCCTCTGAGGGCAAGAACAGTAGCTAAGCAGGCACAGGTGCTTGTGTAGCCACAGGCACTGCAGGAGATGACCATGGAAGAACTGGAAGGGTACATGGTGGTGGCTGCCATCAGGAAGCGCTCACTGGATGGCAAGGACACATGTGCCACACCCCGTGCTGGCTAGTGGGGACTCTGGGATGCACAAAAGTCATCTCTGCCGTCAAGGAGCTTCTAGTCTGGTGGAGGAGATGGATGGGCCTCAGATTATTCACTCATTAAAAATGTCACTTAAGACAGATAAACCACTTAAAATCACCCCCTCATTCATGGTTCATTTCTTTTTTTTAATTTATTTATTCTGAGTCAGCGTCTCACTCTGTCGCCAAGCTGGAGTGCAGTGGCATGCTCATGGCCACCCCAGCGTTGACCTGCTGGACTCCGGCGACCCTTCCGCCTCAGCCTTCCGAGTAGCTAGAACTGCAGGCGTGTGCAACCACGCCCAGCTAATTTTTGATTTGTTGTACAGATGAGGTCTCGCCAAGTTGTCCAGGCCAGTCTTGAACCGCGGGCTCAGGCCATCCACTCGCCTCGGCCTCCCAAAGTGCTGGGATGACAGACTGAGCCCCCAAGCCCGGCCCATGGTTCATTTCTTAAGACACCCAGGCCCACCCAGATCCCACATAGCTAGAGGCTTACGTTTGGCGGTGGCAGTTGGGGGCGGCAGAGGGGGAGTTGGCCAGGGAATTAGGGAGGCCTCCCTCTCAGAAGCAGTGACAACAGCTGGTTGTTTCCTCTCCTTCCAGGTGGGTCTCTTGTCAGCAGTCCCACACATGGTTATGACGATCATCGTGCCTATTGGAGGACAACTGGCTGACTATTTAAGAAGCAGAAAAATTCTGACCACGACTGCTGTGAGAAAGATCATGAACTGTGGAGGTACTGTGGGTTTCGTAGGTGGCTTACCAGCGTTTGTAGAGCACGAGTAATGGCGCTGCGGGTGTGTTGGAGAGGTGGTCTCTGGACATGGAAATGGACCCAGAAGACTCCCGAGTCCATTCCCGGCAGACACTCAAGGGCAGTTCGTCACGACGCAACCAGCAGGCACCTGGCCTGGACTTGTGCAACCCGAGTCAGCCCAACCTGGTGACGGCTGGCAACTCAGTTTCACTGGCCACTGCGGCAATCCTTTTGTCCACTCCCGGGCCTAGACACCCCAATTTCCAGTCACTTGTCTGTTTAGGGTTTATCCTTTCCACACACTCTTCCACACGTCTTTGCTCAAGTGGCTTGTTCCCTTTTCTCTTCCCTTCCTACCTATCCATGTGTTTGGTGGGAAACAGAAGAAAAGTCTTTTCTCTGAAGTCTTTCCTCCTAACCTATGCCTGCACGCGGGGCATATGCGCTCATGTGCGTGCACACACACACACACCACTACTACCACCATTCTCTTTCCTGGTTTGTTGAGCTTCTGCTTTATGTCTTAGTTTTGGAAAGACAGAGTGGAAGTTAGGTGAATTCCCAAAAGAGGCAGGTGAAGGTAACTGTGAATCCCTTCCAACCTCTTGACGGCTCACCTTGCATAACTTCTCCATTTTCTTCTGATCTTTTTGTTTTGCTTTTTTTTCTTTGAGTTGGAGTCTCATTCAGTTGCCTAGGCTGGAGTGCAGCGGGACGCTCATGGCCATCCCAGCATTGACCTGCTGGGCTCCAGCTGTCCTTCTGCCTCAGCCTTCCATGTTGCCGGAACTACAGGAGCACTACCATGTCCAGCTAATTTTCGATTTATTGTAGAGGCGAGGTTTCACCAAGTTACCCGGGCTGGTCTCAAACCCGTGGGTTCAGGCAATCCACTCAACTCGGCCCCCCAAAGTGCTGGGATGACAGGCTGAACCACTGAGCCTGGACCTTGTTTTGCTTTTAAAATAAGCGTTTATTGAATTTTTTCTGTGCCAGACACGAAGCTAAGCCTTTTCCATACATTGTCTCGTGTCATCCTCACAACCACCCCAGGGAGCAGGTGCTGTCCCTTGATGGAGTTGCCGTGAGGAGGCAGAATGCTTGCCCACGGGCAGATCCTTGAAGCCACCAGGTCTGTCTGAGTCCGCCGCCAGGGTTCTTGGTCACGCTGCAGGGGATTGGCACCAGGCTGAGAGAGTGAAGGGCGCCGCCTAGGGGCGGGAGGTCATGGCTGCGCTGTTAAATTCAAAAGCACAGAGTCTTGCACGCTCTGACCCTGGAGGAACCGGATGGGCAGTTAGACATGGCTGACACCCATAATCCCAGCACTTTGGGAAGCTGAGGTGAGAGGATTGTCTGAGCCCACAGGTTCGCGATCAGCCTGGGCAACTTGGCAACACCTTGTCTCTACGATAAAATCCCCCCTCCCCAAAAATTAGCTGGGCATGGTGGCATGCGCCTCTAGTTCTGGTTACTTGGACAATTGAGGTGGAAGTATCGCCTGAGTCCAGCAGGTCGAGGCTGTGGAGACCGTGAGCACGCCACTGCACTCCAGACTGGGCAACAGATTGAGACTCTGACTGGGAAGGGAGGAAGGAGGGAAGGGAGGAAGGAAGGAAGGGATAAGTGGAGCACGTGTGAAGGGCTGCAAGAGCAGCTGGGGGCGATCCTCTGGCGCCTCGAGCATATAGGCCAGCATGGGACACTGTCAGTACCAGTCCTCTCAGGGTGGGACTGCGGGGCCTGGGCGTGTGTGAGCCTGTCCTCAGTTGTGCTTGTGCTGGGGACTGAGGGCTGGCAGACGGGCCTGCTCCCCGATATGTGGGAGGGGAGCCCTGGGACCTGCATCCAGGGCCTCTCCAGGGCAGCTGGAGCTGGCAGAACTGGGCCCATGTCCTGGTCTCAGAACTCTCACGTGTCAGAATGGACTTCACAGAGGTGGGTGAGCTGCGGTTCTCAACGGGGAGCTGATCCTGCAGGGCTTGGGCCTAGTGAGATCCAAGGGCCCCTGAGAGCAGAGGAAGGAAGGGGGAGAAGGTGGTATGGACCAGAAGGTAGAGTGATGCTCCCAGGCCAAGAGACTGGAGATTGGCTGGAGAGGCAGGCGAGGTAGGAGCCTCCAGTGGGCTTTAGCCCTGTAGATCCCTTTGGGACTCTGGCCTACAGAACATCGCAAGAATAAATCTGTGTTGTTTTGAGACACTGACTTTGTGGTAGTTTGTCCCAGCAGCCATTGAAACAAATCCAATAGCCAAAGTCTCTTCTGTGATCAGAGTCTGCCGGGTCCTCAGCGCCCTCCAGTCTCGGCTGCGCTCGCCCCTATTTACTCAGACCTTTTCATGGTTGCCTGGCACCCAGGTGCTTCTATGCAACCATTTTTTCAGCTCCAGTCTCCTCCTCTTGTGTTTCTTTTCTTTCTTTTCAAGTCAGGGTTTCACTCTGCCACCCAGACTGGAGTGCAGTGGCATACTCAGGACTCACCACAGTCTCGACCTCCTGGGTTCAGGTGATCCTTCCACCTCAGCCTCCCAAGTAGCTGGGACTACAGGTGTGTGCCACTATGCCTGGTTTTTTTTTCTTTTCTGTAGAGACAAGATCTCGCTATGTTGTCCAGGCTGGTCTCGAACTCCTAGGCTCAAGCTATCCTCCTGCCTTGTCCTCCCAAAGTACTGGGATTACAGATGTGAGCCACCATGCCTGGCCTCTTGTGCTTCTTAAAGCCACTTGCTTCTCTGGTGAACCCTCTGAATATACTAACATGACTTGGTTGGCAACTTATCATGTGTTACCTTACTTCAGTGCTCTCAGGAAAAGGAGTAAGACAGCAGGAAGAGTGTGTGCAATGGCCTCGGGGCAGGCTAGATCATGGCCTGTTTGAGAGTGGGAGGAAGGAGCGGGGGAATAATGGCTGAGTGGGATGGAGAGTGGCAGGGGATGTGTCCAGAATGTGAAGTGGGCAGGCTGTGGATGGCCTTGTGGATGCTCACACGGCTCAGGCTTTATTGGAAGCGCATGGGGAAGCAACAGCTTAAAGCAGGGAAAGGCCACGATCTGACTTGTGTTTAAATCTGAAGACTGGAATGAAGGGTGGTAAGGGTAGAGCAGGGGGGTGGGAAGGAGATGATTTCTGTTGTCCTGTCAAGAAAGGACAGTGATTTGGATCCAAGCATCAAGAGATGGGGAGAGGTGGGTCGATCTATAAAAGCTCCCATCCGACTTTCTTCTTTGAAACTCATGTGATAAGCTGGGCTCGGTGGCTCAGCCTGTAATCCCGCGACTTGGGAGGCTGAGGTGAGTGGATTGCCCGTGCCTGCGGGTTCGAGACCCGCCTGGGCAGCGAGACCTCATCTCTACAATAAATAAAAAAATCAGCCGGGCATGGTAGCGCATGCCTGTAATTCCGGCTACTTGGAAGGCTGAGGCGGAAAGATCACCAGAGCCCAGCAGGTCAAGGCTGCGGTAGCCAGGAGTGGCCACTGCACTCCAGTCTGGGCGACTGAGTGAGACTCCAACTCAAAAAAACAAAAACAAAAACATATGATAGCCTTCACTTCAGATGACAGTCACAAGAGTTAAATGAAACAGTGCATAGATGCACCTACCAGGTATCTAACCTCTAGACGTTCTCTGCGAATACTGATACCTGTTTCTCCGTGTGTGTTCAAGACACTGAAAAACGGAAGTTTTCAAAAAGGAGGTAGTCGACAAATATCTTCTATTCAGTTGGATTTCTCTTGGCCAAAGCTATGCACTTCTAAATCAGCAACTTGCAAGAAAGTTCTGGATTTGAACACCATTTGCACAACATCTGCTCAATCCAGATGCCTTGGAGATGATTGTTTGGCTTTGCTTTGTTTTTTTGAGTCAGGGTCTCACTGCCCAGGTTGGAGTGCGGTGGCACGATCATGACGATCACAGCTTGACGGCGGCCTCCACCTCCTGGGCTCAGGTGAGTCTTCCACTTCAGCATCCCGAGTAGCTGGGGCTACAGACACGCACCACAATGCCCAGCTAATTTTTAAATTTTCTGTAGGAATGAGATCTCACTATGATGCCGAGTCTGCCCTCAAATTCCCAGGCACAAGCAATCCTCCTGCCTCAGCTCCCCAGAGTGCTGGGATTACAGGCAGGAGCCACTGCACTCAGCCTCCTCGGAGACTCTCAAACATACTTTGTGGGACTGTCTTGTTCATATTTAACTCTGCCCCGATACCTCTACATTGTTTCTCTGTAATTGGCAGTGATGGTGTTGGGTGGTGCTGGTGAGAACTCGCAAAGTTGTTTACTTGCTAACAAAGTACTTGTTGAGAGGAAGTCTTTTTTCCTGTAGAAATTAGAATGCATACGTGGAATCTCCCTGACTCCTCTCCCATCTTTTAAGACCTCTCCCCATGTCTTTTTCTGCTGGGCTATATTTTGGCATCGTAGGACCAGTGAGTTCTAACACAGAATACAGTTTAACGAAAGATCATAGTTCTCCCACTGTGTGTGCTTAAATGTAGAGATGCCAGAGCAGGAGTAACGCTGTGAAAACAGAGATTGTGCCATCGCTGAATAATGCAGGTAGATTTGGAGATGTTGAGGCACTTGTGTGATCATCTAGAGAATTTTGGTTGGCTTCATGCTTCCTAACAAGAAGCTATGAGGACATTCTTGTCTGAGGAGGATCACCCATTTCTTGGGCTGCTCACGTTTGTCTTTCCATAGATGAGGGATCTGTGTCACTATGACCATTCAAAGCCACTGGTCCCCTGGAGACTTGATTCTCACTTCTAGTTCATTTTGGATCAGGGCACATTTCCAAGATCCTCAAAAACAGAGGCCAGATTCTCATACCTTCCCTCTCTAGAGTTTGTGCAGAGTTGACTGAGTACAAAACCTCCAGTCTGGCTGAATCAGTTGACTGTGGGAACTTCAGGCTTTAAAAATGCGAAACAAATATTTTCTTAGGCTTTTATTTTATGTTGTTTTATTTTAATAGAGATGAGATTTCCCTATGTTGCTCCGGCTGGTCTCAGCTGCTTGGGTTTAAGTGATCCTCCTGCCTCAGCCTCCCAAAGTATCAGGATTACAGGCATGAACCATTATGTGCAGCCCTGCTTTTAAATCCTAGCTTTGTTTCCCTTGGCAACTCTGAATCAGGGATCTCTTGGTTACCCTTAAAGTTCAAATTTTATTCTTAAATCCCTGAAACATACGGTCCTATTTCTAGTTTTAACTGGTGCTACAAACCAGTTGGGACCGTAAATGCTTTTTCTTCCTTTGGAAATTTAGCCAAGATCACTTTTTTCTTACAGATGACCTGATTTGTAAGTTTTATTCTTCATGCAATGTCTTCCTTCTAATTCTTTGGGGGGACTCACTTTCTGCACAACCTTTGTTGAGAGTTTTAAAGTGAAAAAGTTTCAGCCAGATGCCTTGTTACTTAAGATAGGCCACTTCTATAACACATATAGTTGGTATATAAAACATAGCAATTATGCACTATGTATAATTTAAAATGTTGCAATTAAACAGAGACCAAGACATAGGGTTTGAAGGCCACAGTTCTACAAGTACTTTTGCTCCCCTGACCTCCTCTGACCCTCCTTGCTTTTGGTCTAAAGCAACTATTAGAGCGGGCTGGGGTCGTCTTGAAGAACCAGTTCCAGAAAGGTGAGGAGCTTAACCATCTTCTTAGTGCTTCACTTGTATCCTAGCTTTTCTCTCCTGGTTCTGGGTCCCATTGTCTTTCCTTTGCATTAACTCACGAAGTGTTACTTGTTGAGTGTTCACTACATGCTGGCCAGACTCTGTGTGAAAAATACAATCTTGTGGGAGAGGCAGAAACCCAAATGAAAAATTACAAAGCTGGCTGGGCGTGGTGGCTTATGCCTGTCATCCCAGCATTTTGGGAGGCGGAGGATAGCTTGAGCCCAGGAGTTTGAAACCAGCCTGGGCAGCATAGCAAGACCTCATCTCTACAAAAAATTAAAAAGTAACTTAGGAGGCTGAAGCGGAAGAATCGCCTGTGCCCAGGAGTTCAAGGTTGTGGTGAACCGTGATTGTGCCACTACACTCTAGCCTGAGTGATAGAGTGAGACCCTGACCAAAAAACAAACAAACAAACAAAACACACAAAGCAGTATTGAAAAGTTCTATAAAATAAGTAAGAAGAAGAAAGAGTTGTCAGCTTCACTGGTGGAGGATGGGGAGATGGTTGTCAGGGAAGATTCTGGAGGAAACTTGAACTGGACTTTAAAGAATATTAAACTAGGTTGGGTGCGGTGACTCACTCCTATAATCCCAGTACTTTGGGAGACTGAGGTTAGATAAATGCCTGAGGTCACCGGTTCGAGACGAGCCTGGGCAACTTGGCAAGACCTCATCTCTACAATAAATCAAAGAATTAGCTGGGCGTGGTGGCGCGTGCCTGTAGTTCCAGCTCCTTGGAAGACTGAGGCGGAAGAATCGCCTGAGCCCAGCAGGTCGAGCCTGCGGTGGCCGTGAGCGTGCCACTGTATTGCCTGGGCAACAGAGTGAGACTCCAACTCAAAAACAAAGACAAAAAAACTAAGCTTTCTCCAGAAAACGAGAAGGTGCTTGTCCCAGGCGAGGAGCAGCGTCCAAGGTGCTTGCGTGCCTGAGACAGTGCTGTGTGCTTGAGGGATGACTAGTGGGGCTGTGTGTCCCAGGCACAGAGGGACGGGGCTGGCAGGGGGTGAAGTGGGAGCAGCAGGAGGGACTCACCGTGTGACACTGTCCTCATGATGTGGGACCCCGGGCAAGAGCTTCACACAGAGGAGCGGCTGATGAGGCGTGTGGTTTACAGAGACGTGGGAGCGATGGGTCAGAGGAGGATTTGAGGGAGGCCACCACCAGGGCTGTCGCAACTGTCCAGGTGAGAGGTCACCGGCCAGGACTAAGGCAGAGGAGGGCAAAGGGGAGGCCGAACTCGATGGGTGTTTCTGAGGCTGAACTGCAGACTTTGTGGAAGTCCGAGGAAGACGCCCAGGATGGTTCTGGGTTTCTGCACTTGGTTCTGACTGCCACTGGCTGAGCTGTGCCCATGTGCCATGCTCACTACCTTATATTCCCCATGTCATGTCTCTTCCAAGGCCACCAAGGGTATAGGATCAGCTCCATTTTTTTGGATGAGGAATCTAGGGGGTGGAGTCACTTGCTCAAGGTCACATGATGAGTGATTCTGAGGTGACATCTGAGCCCATATCTGTCTGACTCTAAAGTCTGGGTTCTAAAAGGGTCAGCAGTAGTGGGAATCTGCCTGGGGAAGAGGGGGCACACCTCACCAAGGGTACCTACATAATGAACATTTGTATACCTAACCCTGAATTGTACCCTCATCTTTAAAATAAAGGAAAAATAAAAATAAAAAATAAAGTCTGGGTTCTGAACACACATGGACAGAAGGTGAATTCAGAGAAGAAGGAAGTCTTGGTGGGCTGCTTTGTTTGTTTAGGGGTGAACACAGGGGGACAGAAACTCGACTTGGGCATGTTGCCTTGGAGGTAGCTGTGTGACACTGTGCGGAGATGTCTGGAGCAGCGGGCGGTCTTCTAACGAAGTGCCACTAATTGTCCCCTGCCCAGGGCACTTCATGTCTTTGGAAACGGTGTTTATATAACTTTCTGCCTGCTGCTGACTGGACCTTTTGTTTTGGAGAGAAGGCACTTCATAATTTTCTCATCCTTCTTTGTTGTGCTGGGCCGACTTATTCTGAATGAAATGAACAGAAAGTGCTTTTGTTCAGCTGTATTTTCTGTGCAGAGATCTCTTTTTTAAAAAGAGCTCCAAGAGCTGGGTGAACTTCTGAAGTGGAAGGATTTTGACTCAGGCTTTGCGAGTGGTGAGGTGGTGCCTTTTGCTTCAGATATTCACTACAGCTTTCTGGTTGCTTTTGGCAGTAAGTGTTAGAGTGTTGTCACGTTATTTTTGTGTGAAAGGCCATAGCTTAAGTAGGCAAGGGGGAGGATCACTGACATGGTTATGTGGGAGAGTTTTCGTGTTTAGAAGTGGCAGGGACAACTCCCATAAAGCGATAACAGTTAGCAACCTCATCCCAGGAGCATCACTGGAACCTGTTGGGGGACTAGCTGGTATTCAAGGTACACCAGGATAATGTTAGAAAGTTCATGAACACCAGGCAATGTTAGCACAGTCATGTTGTTACAGAACACCCACTTAATACGGTAAGTGGTGTGTCAGAATGTATGTACTAAAAACTTAGGTCTGTGAAAATGTAGATTTATTCTTATTTGATCGATTCATGAACATCCGCTGACTGACATGAAAATGACATTTCCCCCTGCTGTTTCATTTGCAGGTTTTGGCATGGAGGCAACATTACTCCTGGTGGTTGGCTTTTCCCATACCAAAGGGGTGGCCATCTCCTTTCTGGTACTTGCTGTGGGATTTAGTGGCTTTGCTATTTCAGGTAAAGTGTGCTGTGCATTTCCAAATCTTGTTTATAGATTCAGCAAGTCTTGGGAGGAGGGAAGGACAAGGACATTGCGGCACCTTCTTTCGGTAGCCAGGTCATTCCCAAGGAGCAGGACCAATGCCTAGAGAGTTCCCTCTAGGGGTGATTTAAGATCACCGAGGCCTGGGCTCAGGAGACCCCCTCAAATTGCAGCCCTCCCTACTCACCCCATCAAGGACAGTGCCCTTAGGGGCCCCTGGTACGGGAGCAGAAACCAGGCCATTTTCGGTGGGAGTCTACAGTGCGTTCATGCCAAGGCTTACAGACTTCAGCCCCCCACCATGCAAAACCGGGCAAAAGAGCAACATTTAGTTACTTGTTTATCTTTGAAACACACTGTAATCATGTAAACTGTTACTCACAGAACACTTGACATACATTGCATCTATCTCACAACACTGTGAAGCAAGTAGTACCTTGCTTGGATTTTTCACTATTTTTACTGAGAATTACCTAAAGCTCAGAAAACCGGGGAATTTTCCTAATGCCACACAATTGGTGGCAAAAGAAGAATGAATAACTCAGCCTGGCTTCAAGTCTGTGCTCTTCCCATTCGTTCGGCCTGCCTTCAATGTCCAATAGAGGGGCAATGTCCCAGAGCAGAAAGCATGGAACCTCTGGTCTAGGGACCTGTCGTGCCTATCAAAATAAATAGAGCTGACGAATAGTTCAGTTAGAAAACATGTCAACGTTAAACTCACTTGCAGCTACGAACTTAGGCTCAGGGACGCATGGGCCTGGGATTGAGGGTCATCTTCACTACTCTCTATTTCTCAAAGAAAACATGGACTAAATTATGAAAATTCTCCAGCCTCTCTTTTTTCATCTAGGGATTGAAGGATGAGTGTGGATGATTCATGCATTTCCCCCCACTCCTCACAGCTGAGCCTCATGCTTGGTACTAGGGATACTGCAGTAGACAGGTCACAGATTCCGCTCTCATAAAGCCTTTTAGTGCCGTGCAAAGAACGCCCTCAGCACAGTGCCAGATGCATGACACACTTCACGAATGTTCACTTTAGATTGTCTATTATTAAATGCTCCAGTTGGTGCTTCTTAAACTCTGATGTGAGGTCACCCTGGCTCTTGCAGAATGCAGATTCTGGTTTAGTGGGGCTTGAGACTGCATTTCTTGTGATCTCCCAGTGAGGCTGCCAAGGATAGTGTGATCATGACAGCTTCCCTTGATGCAAAAAAGAGCCATCTCCTGGCCTCAGAGATGCCGCAACATTCAGTTTCATGTCATTTCCTTTCCTTTGGATTGCCAATTAAGTCACAATCAGGGGAGAAAGCCAACTCTCTCCCCCTGTCCCTCCATCCTCGTAGCTGCCTTTTTGTTTTTAAGGATGTCATGCTTGCCACTTCTTAAACATGATCTCATTTAATCCCTTGGCAACCCGATGGAAGAACATTGCTACACCCTGGTGAAGAAGCTCAGGTGTGACTTAACTTGCCCAATTAGGTTAAGGGGCTAGGAGGGGGCTGAAGGGCTGTCTGACCCAACGCTGGCACCCTGGGAGGGACTGTGTCCAGGGGGATCTGCTGTCTGCCAGCTTTGTAAGGAATAAGTGAGGATGTTGGGAGACTGGCTGGCACGATATAGGAGCTGAGTATGGACAAGAAGCTGAGGCAGATGAGGCAGAAAGACACATGCAATGAGCAGAAATGTCTGGTACAGAGAAGACAGACTCAGTTTGGGTGCAGGGTTTTTCATCTGCTGCAAAAATCGATCAGTATCCCCATTTCTCAGTAATCTCCCCCTTGAATGCCAGGACTGTGCAGCAAGAAACCTTTTTTTTTGAGTCGGAGTCTCTCTCTGTCACCCAGGCTGGAGGGCAGTGGCACGCTCACGGCCACTGCAGTCTCAACCTGCTGGGCTCAGACAATCCTTCCGCCTCAGCCTTCCAAGTAGCTGGAACAGGCGCGTGCTACCATGCCCAGCTTATTTTTTTGATTTATTGTAGAGATGAGGTCTCACTAAGCTGCCCGGGCTGGTCTCAAACACCTCAGCTCAGGCAATCCGCTTGCCTCGGCCTCCCAGAGTTCTGGGATTACAGACTGAGCCACCATGCCTGGCCTAGAAACCTTTTAATGGACTTTTCTCACGTATCTTCACCTGGACACAGATGCCAAGGTGCTGTATCAGAACAGAGTACTCACCAGTCATACTAATGGCTCTTATATTTGGGTTCTTTTCTAATAAAGTGTTGATCCCATTCAAATCAACAGTAAGACTAATTAATCTTGCAGCTGTTTTATATTCTGATTGTTTGGCACTTTGATCTGAAAGAGAAAGGATGTTTATTACAAAAAAGATTTTCTCAAAAAATTCTCCCTGAATGGAGGTATGAAAAACCAACCGTTCAATGTGCTAGATTAGGACAAAAAATTTTTTTAATCACATTTTCAGGTTCTTTGCCCAGAATAGAGAATTTTTAAAAATGAAACAAAGGAAAACAAAACTGTGAATAAACACAACCTACAGCCTCTTGCTATAATCTCAGGAGTTGATATTGGTAATTAATTTAACAACTATAGATTGTGTGCCAGACACGTTGCTAGTTCAGGGAAGACGGCGGACGCCCTGCAGAGCATGCATGTTAGTTTTTACCTCCATGCACTGTGTATTTGACATACTCTGTTTACCATGTAATTCCTACAGCAATTGTATCAGAATGGCTACCCCAGCTTCCAGATGCAGACCTGAGATTCAGGGAGCTTAAATCCTTAGTCCAGGCTGGCATCTCCATTCAGTTGCTAGCACTGAGGTTTCAGGCACCCCTGGAGTAGCTGGGCAGAGTTGGTTTCCAGTGCCTTTGGCCTCACCCTCACAGCTGGGCCTGCCTAGCCTGCACCCCTCCCCGTCAGCCTTCTCTCCTGGTAAACCGATCAACACAAGGTGTGGGTGACTTCTTACTATCCCCACAGTACTGTCTTCTGATTCTAGAAGACCTTGAGGGAGGGACATGTCTGGTGGCAGCAGCGCCAGCACTAGGGATGGTGGTGGTGGTCATCGTGAGCACAGCTTAGCTATTTGCCAAGGGCTCTCGCATACACTCCGGAGTCTCACCACAGCATCTTATGCAGTCAGTAGTCATGTTACCCCCGTATCCGAGATGACAAGACACAGGTCAAAAATTACTTATTTATATGGTGGAAATAGGATTCAAATTCAAGTTTACAGACTCCAATTCAAATAGGTTTGTGACAGTGTTAGAGAATTACAAAACAAAGCAAAGGAAAACAAAAATATGAATAAACAAAACCTACAACCTCTTGTAATCTCAGGAGCTAACATTGGTAATTAATTTAACAGCTATTGATTGAGTGACTAATATGGGCCAGATACATCTGACACATATTTGTGCTGTCTGCCAATGTTTGTGCACATTTTTATCATAACAAGCAGTCCTTTTTTTTTTTTTAAATGCCACGTGACCGGTAAGCACGACTGCCTTTGCAGAGGACTGGGAGCCAGGATGTGAGGAGGTAGGGTTTAGTTCTAATCACACCACCCATGATTGTGTGACTGTTTACTCTGGGTTAATGTGATTCAGGCTTTAGGTTTTCCCGTACTGACCCAAACACCATATTTTGGAATTCCAAACCTACAAGTCCAGATGTCATAATTCTCCCCATGGCAAACCCATGGCAGTCATTACTAATCAGTCACAGCATTGTCTACCCATGCTGCTTTGTGCGGTCATAGCCTGACAATCGTGAACCCGGCCTCTGGCTCTGGAAACTAATATCCATCCATCAGGATGATGAAGATGAAGATGGGGCTAACTATTTGCCAGAATGCGTTTGGAATTCTGTTCTTGACTCTGATTTTGAGGTTTTGACTTTGCTGCAGGTTTCAACGTCAACCACCTGGACATTGCACCCCGCTACGCCAGCATCCTCATGGGCATCTCCAATGGAGTGGGGACCCTCTCTGGAATGGTGTGTCCCCTCATTGTTGGTGCAATGACCAAGCACAAGGTAACAGTCTCCTTTGTGCCTGTGGGTTAGAGTATCAGAGGACTGGAGACTACACAAACTTGAGATTTCATGGCCCTACCCCAGCCTGTAAATGTGCGTGTCTTTGACCTTGACTGAGCCAGTTGAACTTTTTTTTCTTTCTTCTTCTTCGGTTTTTAAAATCATTGCTTGTTGACGGCACCATGGCCAATTTTTGTTTTGCTCTGTGTTTCTTCAATTGAGAAATAAAAGTTCAGAGGAGAGTGGTACAGATTATAGAGACACAAATAAGAAACTGAGGCAATCAACTCAAATAAATGAATTACCCAAGATTGTTTAATAGCGCTAAGTGATTAAACTTTATAGCCTATTTCCATCTATTGCTTAGCATGTTCTAGCATAAAAATATTGGTGCTGTTATGCTTCCTTGTTAGGAATAATATAAGAAATACATTAATGACCCTTTCTAAAGCCTACAAGGATGCGACACTCCGTTGTTACTGAACCTTCGTGAATTTAGTTGAGGGTGAGTGGTGAAGGAAGATCGCAGAGGAGTTCGACCATAGGCCACACGATCTCTTTCTCTTTGTAACTGAAAAAGTTTCAGGGTGTTGCTTTCTGCAAATAAGTTTTTTCGTTTTTGATTTTTGATATGGTGGGGTTTTTACCCAACTATTTTCTTCATTGGATTGTCTAATTACAAATATAACTTCAGGAATTTTCCCAGCTTCTTGGAGAAGAATGTGTGAGATAACTTTTCTTACTTTTTTGGCAGCAAAAGAAGGTAGGATTTGGGGATTTTATAGGCAGAAGATCCATGTTTGCCCTGTCTGCTTATGAAATGACAATCGGTAACATGACTATTAAATCCAGGATATTACCTCCAAACCTTAAACACAAATTCCCAGTATTTTTTGATTTACTCTTTTTTACACAAAGAAAGATTATAAATAAGAGATTTGCAGTCAAGGGTGAGCACTTCAATGGCTTAAAAGTTGTGTATCCAGCAGCAAGCAAAGTGGAGACTTCTGGTACTTAAAATGGTGGGTTTCTAACACAGGTTTAGTTAAGCTTACCACATGAGAGGACACCTCATTTGAATATTTAAAAGAGCCACACAGTGGTGCTGCATGTATTTTTATGTGTTTATTTTAAAATGTATTTTCTAAATAAAAAATGTATGTTTATTGTACAGTCTGACATCCATGTCTTTTTAAAAAAAATTTAGATGTGGGGTTTAATTCAGGGTTAGGTATTTCAACATTGATCATGCAGATACCCTTGTTGATGAGGTACGCCACTCCCTCCCTTAGCAGTTTCCCTCAACTGCCAATCCCATTCCCTCCCCACCCCCACAGTTTCCCACTACTGCCAATCGCTTTCTTATAGCGTTGTAATTGTTCAAGGTCAATTTATGAGTGAGAACATATGGAACCCACTTCTTTGTTTCTGTGATAAATCACTGACTATGATCAACTCCAAATCCATCCAAGTTGCTGCAAAATCCGTATATATATATTTTTGAGTTAGAGTCTCACTCTGTGACCCAGACTGGAGTGCAGTAGCCCCTCCCGGCCACTGTGGCCTCGACCTGCTGGGCTCCGGAGATCCTTCCGCCTCAGCCTTCCAAGTATCTGGAACTACAGGCATGCGCTACCACGCCCGGCTAATTTTTTTGATTTATTGTAGAGATGAGGTCTCGCCAAGTTGCCCAGGCGGGTCTCGAACCCGCGGGCTCAGGCAACCCACTCACCTCAGCCTCCCAAAGCACGGGATTACAGGCTGAGCCACCGAGGCCCGACAAAATCCATATATTAAGTCTTTCACCTAAATGTGGTCTGGGCCCTGGATACTGCTGCCAACGTCCTCCCAGGAAGCTCAGTGTTGCCGTTGGGGCAGGCGGGTGTTTTGTCCCGGTAGAGGCCTCCAGGACATGCTGTTGACCTCTGGTTTGGGTTAAGACTTTGACTGGCCTTTATTTCCATGTTTAGACCCGCGAGGAGTGGCAGAACGTGTTCCTCATAGCGGCGCTGGTGCACTACAGTGGTGTGATCTTCTACGGGGTCTTTGCTTCTGGGGAGAAGCAGGAGTGGGCTGATCCGGAGAACCTCTCTGAGGAGAAATGTGGATTCATTGACCAGGACGAATTAGCTGAGGAGACAGAACTCAACCATGAGAATCTGGCGAGTCCCAGGAAGAAGATGTCTTATGGAGCCACCACCCAGAATTGTGGGATCCAGGGGGAGGAATGGAGAGGCCAGAGAGGCGCCACCCTTGATGATGAAGAGCTGACATCCTACCAGAATGAAGAGGGACCCTTCTCAGACACATGCTAGGGACTGGGGGCACTCCTGTGTCCTCCTCACTTAGAACCAGAACATCTCCTTCCCTGTTGGCTTCTCCACAGCCCGGCCGGCCAGAGGGCCCGTTGTGGGGACCTGGGGTGGGAGGGGGAGGGAGGAGATGGGATCAGCAACAGAGAAGGCTCATCTGGCATTGATGCCCACAGGCAGGGAGCTTGTTCTCAGTTGATAAGATAGTGTGTACACACACACACACACACACACACACACACACACACAAACACACACACGGATTGGCCATTGACCCTTCTCTCAAAGAACTGAATTGATTCAGAAAGAAATGACTCAAAGGAAAGGGGGACAGTATCATGTGTTCAAAGAAACACTGAAGGAAATGAGGATATTTGACCTGAAGGAGAGTGAGTAAGCAACAGCTGCCCCCACACCCCTGAGGGCAGAGCTGAAACCCTATCTCTGAGGGCAGAGCCATCCCCCTGCATCTCCCCATTCCCGAGGGCAGCCATGCTGAGGAGAGTTTCTTTTCCTGATAAGCTGCACTCGTGGAGTCCCCGTGTGTGTCAGGTGCTTTATAAACACTCTATTTAATCTCCACGCCTCTATGACATACATGTCTCATCCCCTTTTTACAACACAAGAAACTAAAGCAGCAAGAGATGAACTTTCCCAATGTCATTGGATCTGCCCGGGCCAGGGCCAGCGCTGAGCCTGACAAAGCCTCACACAGATGGCAGTTTCAGGGAAGAAGACTTTCACTCAGTGTGGGGAAGATATTTCAAATAAAAGAAAACTAAAAGGGGATGAGCAGTCTTGTGGCCAGTTCCCTATGTTGTGGGTTTGGGGGTAGGAAACATGCAGGTTGACGTGGCAGAGGGATTCAAACATGGTTAGGTTCAAAGACTCTCAGTGTCCTACATCATTTGAAGAGTCTAATGATTCTGTGACTTCATAGTTTTAAAAATAATAATGGTTCCAGACTATGTGAAGATTCAAATAGGTTTAAAAAAAACTAACCAAAACAAGAACGCCAAATTTCCAGGAATCCGATAGAGTGACTGAAAGGAGTAAACGAGGAATTGGCTATTAAATTTCAACTCTCCATAATGTTAAGAATGTCCCAAGTTACTTATAAACCTTACAGACATTTAATAATGTAAGAAATAGGCTCATGTGTTTTATTAGATAAAATTCTCTTGAAAGAGTCTTCTGTTTAAAAATGTATGCCTTTAGCCTTTTCTACTGGTGGTTATATTAGAAAGTTTATCAAGTTACACAAAATTATGATTGAAGTATTTATAATGACTGGAATGATATTCAGGGAACCACAGTGATATAGCAGTAGTTACACAGGAAAATGCTAGAATGACATTTGTGACAACTAGATCTGTAGTTAGTGTTGACAAATTCATCTTTGATTGCATAAGGCAATAAGTGGATACTCTCTAGATATATTTACAAATTTAATGTTGGCATGTAAGGGGTTATTTGAAAATAAAATTATTTTTCTGTTCATTGGTTTTGAAAATTTTGTTTTTCGTTTCAGAAGAAAAATATAATATGGAAAAATTATAAATTTACTTGGAGTTTATTATTGTAAAGTGGTTTTTTTTTTCCTAATTTCTCCCATTTATATTTCTGGTCCCAACTTGTACAAGCAGAGTTGTGGTGCATTTTGTAAAAATAATTATCTTGAGAAAGAAAGAATTGTCTGACTCTCCACTAAGTAATAGTCTTTATATCATGGGTATACCACATTTGTAATTCGACATCTTTAAATCTCATGAATGAGTGAATCCATGTAAATCCCTTTGAATAATTCCTAGCATGTAGAAAATGCTCAACCAATAGCTGTCATCATCATTACCATCTTTTAACATTTTGGGGAACTTTTCATTTGAAAAGAAAGCATGCTATGTCATTTTTATCCACTAGCCACAGAGCTTATTGTGAAATTTGTGCTGTTTCCTAAGTAAAGAGTTCAGAAATTTATGATAACTAATGTTTTATTTTTTTCTTGTGTTAATAAAGTAAAATAACTATTTAAAAATTCATAATAATCATTAAGGTAATATTGTAGATTGTGACACAGTTGTAATGGTTTCATCATTTGAAGTTTGTGTCATATGCAGAAAGCCCACATTTTGCTCATTATTAGTCCTTATAATATGTATTTTTTTAAAAAATGGGGTCTTGGATCATGGTGTTAAAAAGTAGAAAATGCATTATTTTGTTGTGATGTGCTTTTCTCATTGGACAAATAATTGCATTTTAACAACAGATAGATGCAGTCTGCAAGTTATTGTACATTTTGCTGCTAATGCCATTTGTAGACCAAGACTTGGAGGCATGGATTCTAGCAGGAAGGGAAGGAGGCCTGAGAGTGCTAAATTCTCGAGACAAGAAAGTCTGCTGGTCCTTTCCAAACAATGAATTTTTTGGAGATTCTTGAGTATGACAGAAAAATAGTAATTATATAAGAAATAATGGCTTGTTTGATATTTCTGCTTGGATATTAAATTCAACAGGTAAAAAACGGGAACCTACTGTTTATATTTCACACTGCCTCCTCCCAACCCTAACAAACCTGTTCTTCCTTCTCTGTTTCTTATCTCAGTTAATCACATCATCTTTTTACTCAAACTAGAATTCTTGATTTATCTGTGACTTTTTTTTTTTTTTTGAGTTGGAGTCTCACTCTGTTGCCCAGACTGGAGTGCAGTGGCCGCTCCTGGCCACCGCAGCCTAGACCTGCTGGGCTCCGGCGATCCTTCCGCCTCAGCCTTCCGAGTAGCCGGAATTACAGGCACGCGCTACCACGCCCGGCTAATTTTTTGATTTATTGTAGAGATGAGGTCTCACTGCCCAGGCGGGTCTTGAACCCGCGGGCTCAGGCAATCCACTCACCTCAGCCTCCCAAAGGCGCAGGATTACAGGCTGAGCCACCAAGTCCAGCTTATCTGTGACTTCTAAAGAAAAATTTCCAAGGTAAATTTCCTTTTCTGTCTTCCCTGCCAAGTTCATTTAATTTAACTTTCAATCTGTAGATCCATGTCTTACATCAGCTTTGTAAAATTCTCAGCACATCTCTTAGATATTGCTTTTGTTCTACTCTCTCACGACTCTCTTTCTAGGAGTTAAATATATGCTAGATGGTATGTGGGTCTCTGACTATCTTTTCTGTATTTTCCAGGCTTTTGTCTCTTTCTGTGTCATTCTGGATATCTTCTTCTAGTTTATTTTTTAGTACTTTATTTTTTTCTTCTTTGAGGTCTAATCTGGGAAATTTTGTCCATCATATTCTTAATTTCATTTATCTTTTCATTTCTAGAATTTTTATTGGTTCTTTTTAATTTCTGCTATGTATTTTAAAAAAATATTTCTAACTATCTTCTGAAATTTTCAATCCTGTGTTTTATTTCCTAGAACATAGTAAACTAATTGTTTTAAAGTACTATCAGTGCCAGTATTTGAAAACCATGTAATTATATTTTCTATTTCTGGCTAGTTTTGCTGGTTCTTGCTCATACTATCTAGGTCTGTGCCTGATTTTCTTTGACTGAATTAAACATTGTATTTGACAAATTATTTGTAGACATAATTTAGCCTTTAAAAATGCTTGTTCTTTTCCTCCAGTGAGATTTTTGTTTGTTTCTTCCTGGAGCCTGAGGGCATTAACGGTTGGGATCACTGGATCTAGTTGCAGGGCCTGAGTTATTTCTGGGCCACACAGAAGAGTTGGAGCTGGGCAGCAGGCTGTGGGATGGCTCTTTTATTTCCAAGTCACCCTTAATCCTACAGTACATCACTTCAGTGTTCAATCCACTCGACGGTGTTGTTACCAACTTCTGTCCCCATTCCAGGTCATCAAACACTGCTCCATCATCAAACATTGGCTTTGTTGGAATTAACAAATGTTTCCAGGAGAAAAGTGGCCTCAAACGACAGGCTTGCTTTTCTGGTTTGTCACCATCTGTCTTATCGTCAGATGGCAGCCTGGACATTTCTTACTACCATAGGTTGGCTTGCCAATGCTCCTGAGCAGAATAAAAGAAAAGTTTTATCCAGCTTTCCTTATGGCAAGATGGGTCTGCCATTAACGTGTGCTGAAATCTCTTTTAATTTTATCTTCACAAATTCTTTAAAACTAATGTATTTCCCTAAGGGTAGTATGGTAATATCTTAAACCCCAAACCTCAGTGGTTTAATACTGCAAACGTGCAGTTCTGTCTAGTGTTATAAGTTGAATGTGAGTTGGGCTGGGGGTGCGGAATGGAGGCTTATTCCGGACAGTCACACTGGTATCCAGGATTTATTTTTCTCCAGCACTGTGTCCCAGGCCTCATACAAAGTCCTTTCATATGTAATCCCACTTCTCATGGCATCCCAGTGAGAAAGATTCACTGATTTATTTCCAAGGATTTATTAATAGGCAAATTGTGTTTCAGAGCAGAACATAAACTCAAGTCTCTAAAGGCCACATTTTAATCTTAATTCTTAATTAGGATCAATAATTGAATCTTATTCTTAATTTTTAAATTCTTAATTTAAACTTAACTCTCATTGATATCAGATTCACATTTTAATCTAATTTTAATTAAGTCATAATCTTAACTCTTAATATTTAATCTGTTTTCCACAGCTTCTCCTGGCTGGCAGCAATTCTAGACAATGATGTTGTCAAAGTCAAGAGTGTGTCCCAGTTTTTTCCGTGCGGTGTGATCAAACTGATAGAATAGGCCTGGTCAGTTTAGGCCAGTCTCAAGGACAGGGGCAAGTGAGAAGCCAGGTGAACTTGTGGGTCTCTCTTCTTACCACCTTTTGACTGAGTGGGATTCGAGAAACAGGGTCCCAGGAAACAGGATTTTCCTGACTACACAGGTAATAGGGAGGTTGCACCCAGCACTTATTGGGTGGGTGGGTTGGGAAGCTCACCAGGGACTGCATTTTTCCCAAGCCCACCAAGTTGGACACAACAAACATGGTCCAGCAACTCAGCACATGCCCTGAGTAAAACAGTGCTCTGTGGACATGCTGAGATCGAATATAGCATGTAAGGAAGATGATGTGGTGATGGCTCTCAGGTTGGCTCACAAACATGGCAGATT